TCGACACAACAACAACAGACGCAGGAGCAATCAAGAAGTTTCGTAAATAGTATTACAGTAGCCTGCGGAAGGTTCTTTTAAAAATAAATTTATCGATGACGAATTATATCGGACAGCTGAATATATCTGCACACCAAATTGACCCAGAACCGCATCTACTATACTACTTCTAGCATTCTTCATCTTTTTATCAGTAATTAATGAAAAATATTTTCAAAAACTTTGCATACATTAGAATTTCTGATAAACATCCAGGGAGATACACACAATCTGATCTCTGGAAAATAATGGTTATCAAAAACTCTCCATCTTGCCTTGGGAAATTTGATATGTCATAAATCAAATTTAGTTTTCTCTCGCAAATCTGTCGGCTACGGATTTACTTGTCCTCTAAAATATGTTTAGCTTTAATTAAGGCCCACGAGAAATAAGGAAGAATAACGACTTGGAAACTTCCACGCCAGAGAATATTTGTTACTATCACGGAGGTAAACTCGGCAACGTAGACGATATCGAAAAGCATATAAACTAAGTTAATAAAAGCGAATCGATAAGCCAAACTTTATAAACAAAAATTTACGAATGCTCCCTTTTCCTACTCGTTCTTCAAATTTTTCTTTAGCAGTTATCTCGAGCGTTTGGTACGTGACTCAAATGGCACATTGCCGGCAAATTGTTTCATTGTTCCCTCGCATCCACGATCTCTTTTAACGTTTTTACTGTTTTAATTTCCGCCGATAGACGTCTGCTCGACCAGTAATGTGGAAATGAAAAAATACCGAATTTTTATTGATGACTTTCGGAAAATTCAAAAACCCGATTTTTCTATGCAAAGTTAAAATTTATGGGTATACATACTCGGACATCGACTAACAATTTTTACATTCCAGTGAGTAATTATCGTTTTTAAAATATGATATTCGCAATACGTACAGGGTGGCCGATTTATTATGGGTTAATAGCTTGTCTCTTACACTCTCACTGAATATTTGGGGTTGATTTCCTTATCGAAGGGATATAGTTTAGTGTTATGTTATGTATTGATATTTTTAAAACTAATAAATACAGGGTATCCAAAAACAATTAATTATTTTAATGGAAACACTTCTATTTTATACTTTTATCTCATCCGGCTATACAAAAATGATGACTCTATAAGGTTTACTATTTCGAGAAGTTAAAAATTTCGAAAAATTCCTAATAAAATGATTTTCCAATCTAAAAATGCTCATTAACCAAGGAAAAAAACAATCTAGCACTGAAGAAATATCACCCCAATTGTTTATAAATATTAAAATCGTGCCTGGCAATTAAATTATTAATCCAAAGCTTAAAAAGCACCGTTCTAAACGAATAATAAGAATATTTTATAAATACAAAAAATAATTATAAATAACATATTTTTTTTTTAATCTTTTCGATTTCTTTGATTTGGTATTAGTATTTTCTCCATTATTTTGTTCTTTTTAGAAAAACTGCTTAATGGCTTAGAGAAATAGTGTTGTTTTTTTTAGGCAAATATCAATGGCATCTTTACAATACCTTTTATTGCTAATATTTTGAAATCTACAACTTTTTCCTTAAAAATGATAAAAGTGGTCAATTTTCATTTCAAAAAAAATATTTTTTAAGATTTTCTCAATGGAATTTTTAATGCTTGTTTTCGATCACCATGTATTTATTTATTTCTAAATATTAACACTGACCACTAAACTACATCCCCTGCTATAAGGAAATTTTATCCAAATTATGACAAGGCCTTTCAGACCTCACTTTTAACATATAATTAAAAAGCTAGAACGTGGCTATGAAATGTATCTAGAATTTCCCGTGGTATTAAAAATGTCTTCATATACAGGGTGCTCTATTTAAAATAACCGTAGAATCTAAACAACTTTTGATATTTTTTAAAGATTCTGTATCCTGTACAAACAACCAACCACTTACAATTACTATTTTTAACGTTTAATTTTGATTAGTTCCTGTTGAATACGTAAATGCTGTCAAGACTAAAGAAAAGATTAACTACACTAAAGAATTCTGTCGCTCTTTAAATTGCCCTGTTCGTGAAAATGAACTCGATTAAGTTCTTCAATTTTTCGTTCAATCATCAGCCATTCTAATCATGGTGAAATGTCAATGACGTAATCTTTAAACAGATTGCGCTACTTCGCTGAGATGACTGGCCTGATTCGAATAAATTCCCGTCTAGAAATTATCCATTTCGATATCTCCAGGCAGCTTTCCAAGTCGCGAATGCTTTCAAACGTGACTATTTATTTGTTTGTTTGGAGGTGATTGAAAAAGTTTTCAAGTATTTTAAGGTTCATTGAAAATTGGGCAGGTAAACAAGAGCTACTAAGGAACAATGGTTTATTTTTACACCTCCAACGAAAATCGGAACATTTTGAGATGCCACTTTGAGCACATAAACCAATTAAAGAACCAAAACTAAATTATTGCTAACCTGTTACTTGCATAAAGCTCTTTATTTTATTAAACTAGAAAATCATAAATACTTTCATTGTTAATTTACTGTTTCGACATATTGTCAAGCCAAGGAACTTATTTTTTTTAATTTCACGATTTGCATATCAGTATTTATGTCCACTTTAATAGGACATATGAAGAGCATCTTTGCATAGTTAAGAGATATTTTGAAAAAAAGGCTTACTTTTTTTGCCTTTCTTCATTTTTTGTCACTATTGTAGCCCGTATTTAATCTTATCTAATCTAATAGTCCAAAAGACCCGTTAGTTCATTCTTACTTCTAAAGTAAAACAATTGGGTATTCAAATCATCCAGAAAATCTGCGCAAGTTGATTCCACACAAAATTACAATGGAAAAGTTGTTTAATTCTCATAGTATATTGCTGCTCAAAATTACTGTTAACAACTTTTAGTATAATAGTTGAAACTTGCGTGTTCAGGAAACTTTCAGATTCTTCGTTGCAAAAATACGAATTTTTTACCTTAAAGGGTGGCTTATAATTTTGTAGCTATAAACTGAAAGAAATCGGGCCTCGTTTGCCAGTCTTGTCAGTATATTTTTCTAACCAACAAACGAACCAAAAATAAATTTTTAAAATTATTACTTATAGACTTACATTACTTGCATCAACCACTTCGTTTTATTAGATTAGTATCTTAAAAAAAGAAGGACACCAAAAGTTCCTTATAATATATAATATTATCATTGTTAATTTAAAGTTTTGACCGATTCCATCGCGCTGCGGTTTTGAGAAGGTATTAAATTTTAGCCATGTAGGTTAAGTACCCATTTGTTACAAAAAATATGCTTTCTTTGTAAACAATAAACAATTATTTACGACGTGTGTTCAAAAAGAAAGGTGACTTTTATAAATAGACGGACGACGTAAGTTCAATCTTCGATATATTTTTTTGTTATGTTGGTACACATGTCCTTAACATATGTTCACAGTTTCAAACAGTTTGCAAGTTTTTTTTTGTGAGAAAGATGGAAGAAAGAATTTGCTTTTTTTTTTAATGAAATACAGTGCTGCAATTGCCTGTAGATGACGAACCTCGCTCTGATAAAAGGGTCGAAGAAGTGAAATAAATGGTGTTATGTGGCATCTCTATTTTTTTGTAGCACGAAATTTGTTCCGAAACTGCTTAATTTGAAGAAAAGGACGTTTGAAGCATCGCTAAAGAGCCGTTAAACGAAGTCAATGATGATCCTGATATGCCCAAAAAGGTCCATAACTGGTGACGGTAACAGTGACGGTTGGTATATTGGTTATGACTTCGAAACCAAAGCCCAGTTGTTCCAATGGAAGAATATAGAAGGTTTTGCTTACTGTTTTCTTTGATTATCGTACATCAAAAGTTCTTACCATCGGGTCGTACAGTTAACAAAGAGTATTACCTTGAAATTATGCGCCGTTTGCGGGAAGCAATACGAAGAAAACATCCAGAATTGTAGGAAAATAATCTATGGATTTTTTTGGTTTCTTGGCCAAAAACAATACAACAATTATGCCTCAGCCACCGTATTCACCGGATATCACCCCCTGCTACTTTTCCTGCTCCCAAAACTCAAGGAACCCATGAGAAAAAGAAAAAATGACTGGAAAAACTCAAGGCTATTCAAGAAAGTGCTTACCAGAAGTGCTTCGAGGATTGGAAAAATGTTGGCACAAATGTATTATATCTGGAGGGGATTACTTTCAAGGGGACAACATTAATTTTGATAAATTGATAAATACTTTTTTGATAAAACCTCACTGTACTTCTTGAACACAACTCGTTTGTATGTGTAGAATATAGTAGGGTTTAAGAAAAGATCATAAAATCGGCGAATTAAATTTAATTTGTAGACCAAAACAGCAACAACAAAAAAAAAAAAAATGTCAAATTTAGTTTTCACAAAAACGTTAAAATTGCATAAAAATTTATATTTTGAAAAATGTAAGCATGTAGGTATGTGCTTTCAGATAAAGCACGATATTTTACGTGCTTTAAATTCAAAACTCTCATGAGTTACATCACCGCTAACATAACATTCTGGACACAAGCTTAGCTAACCAAATTAGCATCATCAGCAGTTGTGGTTTCAAACTCGCTACTTAATCTACCTTCCACCACAAGTCGCATTGCACGCATCTAATCTAATAGTTCAATTGGTCTATTGGTCCAATCGACAACAATTCTTATTGCGAAGGTAACATCATTGGGTATTCGAATATAAAGTAAAAGAAATAAATCCAGAAAATTTACCCAGATTGATTCCACGTCAAATTACAACTTTACATATTTGATTGCTAGTAAAAACAGTTATTTGCAACTTTTAGCATTATTATTGAAATATGCGCTCTCAGGAAACGTTTTTCTCATTTTTTTGATTGTATAAACTATATCAATCGCACACAAACATTGTCGCAAACAATAAAAAAGTGTTATAGATATCGAATAACTGGTTTCAATTTGTCATTTGATTTTAATTTTTTTTTCATTTATTTTGCAAACGAATTTCTTACCTTAAGGGGAAATTTTAAACCTATCATTCTGTCGTTAAAAACATGGTTAACACAAACGTTTCCGCTATTTTCGCGTCGGATTTGAAGAGAAAAATGTCCGCGAAAATTTTCGAACCGTGACCCGAGTTGAAAAGCCGGAAAAACAAGTTCCGAACTCGAACGTCGGCATGCACTCCCTTTACTTATTTCCCGCGGTGTACAGATAGAAATCCAGCATCGTCTGTACCGAAAATAAACGCGCAGGCGCCGCGCCGAAATCGATGGAACCCATCCCATCTACGAAGAAATAATTCCTATTGTTTTTGCCAAAAAACTAAAACGCCCAGATTAAACCATTATATATGGTCGCCGACGATAAAGCAAATCTGGGTTTCCGGTTTTAGTTTTATCAGTAAATAAAACCTAACGCACATATATAACGCTAACAATAAAATTTGTAGTTAATTTTGGGCGCCATTGTAAAAAGTTTTGAATATCTAAAAAATGTACCAATTAACTTTTTTAGTATTGGTTTACCCATTTATTTTAGTGCATAATACAGTTTTCTAAATTAATTTTATGGCACAGTATAGTTTTGGTCAGCTAAAAAAATCACCAAAAGTCTGACTTTTGACATAGAAAATTTCTCGTTTCAATGATTATTTGAAAAAAATAGAAATTACACAAATAAAAATATTACCTTGCCCTAAAGTAGCACATTTAATTATATATCTTGACAGGAATTTATCAAATCTTTAGTTTTAACATATTAATTTTCTTCAGTCATAAGGATATATGCGCTGATTCTAAGATTAATTCAGGATTCAAAGTTTTGCAATATCCACTTCAAGAAACATGACCTTTTTAAATATATATTATGTTTACTTACATCAAAGATATATTCTCTTCCAATAAATGAATACTCTTTTGGTGAACAAGTTTCACTTTAAAATCTGATTTTTAAAAAAGAATAATGCCGCCTTCCGAGATGGGCATGTTTTTTTGTTTAGTAGTCAATCACAACTCTCGGCATTTTCAAATCTTTGGTCCTCTAAGTCCCAAATGAGGAGCTCTTGTTTTGTTATTTAATGAGAAAAACTGCCAAACAGAGATTCTTTAAATTGCCCTGGTTCCGTTGTTTTTTTTTGAGTTAGGTGCTTTACGAGGAAGAATTTCAAATTCGCCAAAAACAAAAATAAAAACACATTCGAAAGAAAAAATATAAGCAAAGAGCAATAATAAATCTGCTGCGGTTGCATCTGAACAAGAACTTAATTTGTCAAGAAAGAATGGAAAAGATTATGACAGGGTTTCAGTAGAATAAATTTTATATAATAAACAGTAAAGATAATAAATACGAAATCATTTTTAGCAATTTCAATATAAATTACAATCTTCTATTTTAGATACAATATAGTTTTTTGAGCATCGTTCCTTTGACATTAAATTATTAAAAAATATTTCTTAACACCTAGGTTCAAATGATATTGAGGACAATTAATACTAATTGAATTGGTAACGATGTTGTTACTAAATAATTGAAACATTTCTTGAATCCATTTTTGTCCAAATCCAAGTAAACATAAAAAAAAATTTTTTTTTCATTCTTTCAAACTGATTTTTTATGAACCTCAATTGAACTTATCATTTTTGAAATATTAAAATTTTTAATACATTTCATATAGTTTATTTTAAGTAGCATCTCGATTATCTTAAGATTTACAAATCATAAAAATAATTTTTTGGAGTTCTGGTACCATGAAACATTTTCTTAATTATTCAACTTTGGGTGGTTATTATAAAATTCGTATTGACTTCGGTATATTGAGGCAGAAAAAACTTGCACTCAACTAACCAACAATGTCAAAAAAAAATAAATTCTCACATTTTCGTTGTAGTAATGTTATGATCTATTTATTTGAACTTATTTTTTTTTATAAAATCGCAATTCAAATATAAAACGAATTAATGTAAAATTTACATAAATAAATGAGTGAAGGTAATTAGACCATAGGCATTATACATCATAACGTACGAGAAATTTGAGCAACTCAGAAATATCAAACCGGTTTTCAAGGAGATTGCGACCCCATTTCCTATGCGCATACATCACAACTTTGTCCTGAACTTCTGGAATCGGCTTTCCAAACGCAAACATTGTTTCGAAATTGCGCAAACGCCTTAAAAATGCAAAAATTATGCAAAGAAATTTATTCAGCACGAGTACATCCTATTTTAACGGTTAGAAATTCGAGATTGCCATTGCGCGACCTATTTTTCATACTCGCGAAGCGTATTAATACTCACGGCACTCATCTACTTGGATTGGCAAATTGCGCTCATTATTCCAAGAAATATTAAGTTTTCGATGATCATATTCGATACAAAGCACGCCAGCAGCACTGCCTGACTTATTTGGAGCGCCATCTGGTAGTCGATGACTACAAATAACAAATTAATGAAATGGGCCTGAATTTCAATAGGCTACTTGCAACTAATACTTTTATTTATTTACCAAATACTTTTTGTATAGAGTCATGTGGGGCAAGTGTGCGCAGGCTTATTATTTATAAAACCGTTGACAGTAGAGTAGGGGAATCAACTGACTTCAGTAGTCACTACGACGTTGGACAAAAGACTAGAGTTTTGTCTGGCAAAGTTACGTAGTTTTAATAATATTGGTAAGTAAAAATTTTGGTTATTATTCTTCCGATTTTTTCCAATTTAGAATTCAAATACTTTTACATTTATGAACGCAAAAATGTGTAATTTTAAACTAAATCTGTAAAGGCGTAAGAGTACGCATATTTTAAGTGAGTTCTTTGTGTATTGACACTCGTTGTTATTTGTTTCAGGTTATACTTATATATTTCTTAAAAAAAAACTAGAATGCCTCGAAATTACAAGCGGAAGGCTCCACACAGGTCCGTTGTTACCCGTGATCAATTTGATGCTGCTAAGCGATTGATTGCCGAAGGTTTAAGTAAAAGAAAAGCAGCTGAACAGGTTGGAATGAAAGAGAGTACTCTCTGGAAGCGATTAAAATCTGATTCAACTGCTCTAAAATTAGGAAGATTTACTTCAACTTTCACAAGTGAGCAAGAAAATGAAATATATATTTAAAAAGATGTGATGATCTTTATTATGGTCTTAATATGACAACTCTAAGAACATTGATCTACGACTATGTTGAAATAAATCATATTCCTCATCGGTTTAATCAAAAGTCGAAAAAGGCTGGACGTGATTGGGTGTATGGATTTTTAAAAAGGCACCCTGACTTGAATTTACGACAACCCACGTCAACTAGCATAGCTAGAGCAAATAAAACTGAAAATTCTAAAAAAAAACAAAGAAGAATACTACTACCAAAGATAAGGCTGTTAAAGTTAAGGCTAGCCAAGAAAATATTAATGATTTTAAGGAAAATGATGATTACTGTGCATTGTGTGGTGAAAAATACGTTGATCCACCTCCAGAGGATTGGATTAAATGTAGCTTATGTCATAGCTGGTGGCATGAACAGTGCACTCATTATGAAACTGGTGCTTTCATATGTGACATATGTTCTAATAATTAAGATTTTATCATATTCGTTAAAAACGATCTCATTTGAATTTATCTCTATTCAAAACTGTTAACTACTCTAAGCCTTATTCTCGATAAAAATCAAGTTAAACAGTATTTGTCAAAAATTATATATTTAATATATAAATATAAAAAATGAAGTAAAAAATGATAAGTATTGATAAAAAAACAATATTTATAACATTAAATATGGTGTAACTATATGTAACAAGTTATGGTTTAAATTATTACAAATGCGCACACTTACCCGCAGTGCTGCGCACGTTTACCCCAATATTGGGGAAAGTGTGCGCATTGTGATTAACATTTATTTTATTTTATTTCTTTAATTACAATTAAGTAATTTGAATTTCATGTTACGTAATTGTTAAATAAATAAATTCTTTAAATAAATAATTTTATTTCAATTTATTTTGTACAATTATTAAAATTTTATGATCATAGAAAAAAAAATGCGCACTCTTGCCCCACATGACTCTAATTTTACCAGCATTAGAACTTTGAATCTAGGTGGGGCCCGCGAAAATCGACAAAATCGAGCGAGGTTAATACACATAACCTATAACTTACATAAAGTAACATATAACTTACGGTAAAATCCTCAACTTTAAATATGTATTAAATACAAAGGCAACAAAAAAATTGAATTAATATAATAAATAAAATATTTCATGTTAGTTTTAATAATTATCAGGTAAACTTCAGCAATTCATTAAAAAAATATATTTTTTCTTACCCAAATTTTAAATTCTTGCAAGGGGCCTATTGAACCAAATAGATTTGGTCCCAACTGGATAAGTTCAAGTCGTAGTAAACTAAGTTATTGGATACATTTTTGTGAATTGATTATCAGAACTGACGTCAAAATGCCGAAGTAGTTCATGGCTAAAGAAGCTGACGTCTTAAAGTGACACGGTGCGCCCCCTTGATCAATGGATAATTGGGTACTTTAGAGTAGGGTGCAGAAAGAATTGATTTATTATTTAACATTTGTTAGGTATTCTTTACAATTGACGTTAAACTTTCTTATACAGGCATTGCCAAATCGTATTTCTAAACAGTACAATTAAAATTTTATATAAATAGTGACTATTATTAGTGATAATTTCTTTTAAGAAAATTAATTTTGGTTAGCCAATGAGACTAGTCTGTTCACAAAGATTAATTAGTTTAGAATGATGGCAATATCTCAACTGGCAATATGCAAAAATGACATTTTTTCCAAAAAAAAAATACAACAATTAAATACGGAAAAATCTGAGAAACATGAGTATTAGGGAGTTTAGTTTTTTCAGGACATTTTCTTATTTTAAATAGAACATCTTATATATTGATACACATTTGAGGAGTGCGTTTCAAGGTGAGTTGAACGATATTTTTTCTTCATATTTCGAGATAAACTTAAACTGTGATACCAACAGTGTTATAAATGTTGCCATATCCTAGTAAAGCAATTTTTTAAGTGTCACGTATCGTGGTTTGTAAATTTACTCGTATTGTTTAAATCCTACTATGTGTTACTTTATATTTAAATTAAGCATTAAGAATTG